CTACTACAACGACGAGCTGCATGTCACCTGGCATCACAAGTAAGAACACGTGACTGTGTTTAAAGGGACAGTTCACCCAAAAATGATCATTCTGAGTTACACTTTATTTTAAGGTGTCCTTGTTACAGTGTAATTATGCATTTAAAGGGGTCATAGGATGCCCATTTTCCACAAGTTGATATGATACTTTAGGGTCTTAATGAAAAGTCTGTAACATAGTTTGGTTAAAATTTCTCAATGGTAGTGTAAAAAAACACCTTTTTTTACCTGGTCAAAAACAGCTCTTTTCAGATCAAGCCCGTTTTTGTCATTTCCCTTTAAATGTTAATGAGCTCTGCTGTCCCCGCCCCTCTCTGCAGAGCTGCTCTCAGAGAGACCGTTTGCTTCAGCTGCATTCATTGTGAAACTTGCTAATTAGCACATTATTAGGAAAGGCGATTTACAAAGATTCATTACAAAACATTACACTCACTTCTTCTGGAGATGAGACTACTGATGACAGTCACTCAGGGCGGAGCTAAGGTAGACGCCAGTCCAGTCTGTGCTGACACACTATTGTCAATCAAACGTCACACAGACAGGCATCTGAGATCGGCTCGATTTGAGAAAGGGGAAAACATTTAACCAGATTTAAAAAAATTAAAAAAAAACACTAGGTGGATTTTTATCATTATATGGTGGTTGTGTACACACACTGCCAACACACATTTCAGTTCAAACAACTTGTAAAAGTGCATGTAGCATCCTATGACCCCTTTAAATACTGAGTAATATTAATTAACTACATGCACTTACTATAAGGTTAGGGTCTGGCTTAGGGTTACTTGCATGTAATTATGCATGTTATTATAATAGTAAATACATGTAACATGTGTAACAAGAACACCTTAAAATAAAGTGTTAGCTAATTCTGTCAGCATTTATTCACCCTCAAGTTGTTCCAAACCTGTATGAGTTTCTTTCTTATGTTGAGCACAAACCGAACAGTTGGCGGTAGCCATTGACTTCCACAGTACTGAAGAAAACACTGTGGAAGTCAGTGGCTACCGTCAACTGTTTGGTTTCCATGATTCTTCAGAATATCTTCTTTTGTGTTCAACAGAAGGAAGAAACTCATACAGGTTTGGAACAACTTGAGGATGAGTAAACGATGAAAGACATTTTCATCAGAAAATTAATTATAGTTTTTGGGCAAACTGTCCTTTTAAGAAGCGTTTCTCTTAAACTTAAGAATACATGACATTTTTATAGCATTAAGACATTTTCTGACAATGATTTTGAAAAAAATTCAATGTACAGCTATAAATGTGGGATTTAGATCATGTTTGAAATTTTAATCTCAGAAGATGACTCTATGTAAACCTTGAAAATGTCTAAATTATGGATCCCCACACATGACATGCAGAAAAAAGATATCATTCTCACAAGTTACATGCAGCTTTTATTATTTTGTTCCTTTGTTTTAGTTCTTTTTTTAGTTGTTACTGTATTGTCAGGAATTAGTCACTTTTTTTTTTTTCCAACAACCAGTGAATAGCACAAGTCATATTACAGACCAGGATCAAAACAGAGAAAAAATTAATACAAATAATAATAATAATAACAACAGCAAAAAAAAATAAAAAAATACAAATTTAATCATCTGAAATATGCAGCTTGTATTTCAAAGTGACTTTTATAGTTAATGTTTAACTAACGTTTTATAGTTAATTTATAGTAGTTAACGCCAAAAATACAAAGCTTTTATTTGTGCTGAATGAGAGAAGTACGTGAGCTCAAGTTTCTCTGTATAGCATATTTTTTCACATGCCACTAGTTTCGGGTTTGCTTTAAATACATTTTCGAATTATTAAATGTCAATTTCAAATGTTTGTATTTGTGACAAAAATGCAATGTGGTCACAATATTGATAAAGCATATGTGACCCTGCAGCACAAAACCAGTCTGAAGTCACTGGGGTATATTTGTAGCAATAGCCAAAAATACACTGTGTATGGCTCAAAATTATAGATTTTTCTTTTATGCTAAAAATCATTAGGATATTAAGTAAAGATCATGTTCCATGAAGAACTTATTTTTTCACAATGGAAGTCAATGAAAAAGAAAACACCTCTCTTCAACAGGCGGAATGATTTGACATATCAAATCACTTGAGTTTAATACAGTTTATAAAACGGAGAGTTACGGTCCTTGATTCTGACTGGTTGTGCCGCGTTCGAAGCTGTTGTAAATTACTCTACAAACACACACCTTTGTTTACTTTGTGTGTTGTTTGGCATCCGCTTTGTTAGAACCACAACCGATTCTGAGGAACTACATTGTTTGCTGGAAGAATACTGTTTTAATACTGTTTTTATATCATTACACTTTATTTGCTCTGAAACTTCACGTCGTGCCTAACAATGCCCCTTAGCTGTTATAAATTCACTGTAAACCACGGCTTCACGGGGCTTATTGCTTTATTTTATTCCTGTGATGCAAAGCTGAATTTTCAGCATTACTCCAGTCTTCAGTGTGACATGATCCATTAGAAATCATTCTAATAAAATAATTTTACTGTATTTAAAAAATATATATTTAAAAAAAAATTTTAATGCAGGCTTGGTGAGCATAAAACATTTTCAAAAACATAAAAAAATAATCATAATTATTCCAAACTTTTGACCGGTAGTGCATATCCTCAGTGGAGAGTAAGAACATGGTGCTAATATCTTGGTTGCAGATTGAAAAGCCTTGGTCTGGCTGCACACTGAATTGAATCCAGACTGGAGAAGATCTAGTAAAAATATATTTTATTTATATATTATTTAAACTACAGTGCAAAAAGTGCACAGTGAATTAAAAACTACAACAATGATTTGCATTGTGCAACGTCGTTTATATGCCAAATTATATTTTTGCTAGACATACTTCAGCCTGGATTTAATTCAGTGTGTGACCAGCAATCTTTTTTTTTTTTTGTGCTAAAAACTACTTTTTACGAATCAAATTAAATTATACATTTATGCTAGAATGAAAAACATTCATGTATATGCATCCCTAAATTCAAGTCATAAAAAAAGTGATAGTTTACTAGTGTAAAAATGTAAAACATTAGCATCGAACACTATAGTTAATTATTTCTGCAGTTGCATATTATTCACACAACTGTCAAAAAATACAAATAAACACAGAAGTAGCGATAGATTTGCATTATGCAATACATTTTAGCCACTTACTGCATGCATGTACTTTTGGTCAGAGATAAAAGAATACATGATCAACTCATATCACCTCAAAAGTTTTAAATATAGCAGGTCTTCTCTATCTTGCTATATTTGACTATTTAAGGCTGTCAAATAGTATAACTATAAATGTAGGAGGGGGGGGGGGGGGAAGCAAGATTAACATGAGAACTGCATTTGTACGTCCATGTAACTTGTGCCTCTTGCTCTTGCCAGTTGAATGTGATCGAAAACATGGGTGATTTTGGTGTGGTGTCATATCTGGCCGACGCTGACGGAAACGTGATTGTTGGACCTACAACTCCTGAAGCCACGTGTCGTCCAACAACGCCTTCAAACAGATCAGTTCCCATATCAGCCAGCCCAGTTACCCCAACTCTAACATCAACCCCGGCTAATACAAACCCTCTAAATAAAACTACAGCTACCCCGACCCACCAAAATCAAACCCCAGGTACACCATGTCCCTCAGCCCCACCTGCTCAGATCCCCGAAAATCAGTCCCCAAGTTCCCCGACCCCTCAAAATCAAACCCCAGATACCCCGATCCTCTCAAACACATCCACTCCCACAGCAGGTGAGAAATCAATGAATACGTCAATGAATGATGAGCAGATTATGCTGAAAGGTGAGAAAGGGTGCAAAATACACATAAACCTGTAAAATACAGACCTGAATGTGAGTTAAGAGGTGTTGTTTCATACAGACTCTGTAAATCTGGGATTATCTGATTTAGAGACGGAGCCGGCTGAAGTCATTCATCTCACAGAACATGTTGCTGGACCAGAGACCACCTCTTCATCAGAACCAGACGAATCCACACCAGCTCTTGAAAGCGAAAACCATGAAAGTGTGTGTGAAAAAAAAGATGACTAAAAATGCTTGCGGACACAGTTTAACTGTATTTATGTTTTAGAACTAGGTACAGGACATGAACCATGCTAGTTATGGTTTTAGAGATTTATGTGATGATTGTCATCTCAAATGCCTGTTCATGCCCATTATAAAAATTAGATGGGAGGTAAAATTATATTTCAAGGCCTTTGTGTTGAATCTGAAAACTTGCGTTTGCTTGCAGGTGAGGTGGAAAGAATACATCAGTACTTTTGCTTTCTCAGGGAGCTCAAAAGTTTCCACGGAGCCCCAAAAGGGACATGGTGGTGGAAAAATACAGGATGGGAGGAAAACTATTGTTCAAAGCTTTTGCACTCTCTTGCAAAATGTTGCGTTCTCTCGCAAAACCCGAGTTTAGACAAATCCTGATTACTTTACAGTATGCAATGGTACAGACAGCTCCATACTTTCACAATGGTTTTATTTTGAACTTGGACTCAAGTATAAAGAAATACGGTCAGTTTGTTCAAGGCACGGTTTTGGGACATTCCAAAACACTTAACGTGGCTTAATGGACTAAAACAGTGACATTGGAGGACCAATTTCAGTACACACCTTATTAATAAAAGCATAGCTACTATTTACAGACAAGCAGAATAGCCCAGAAAATCCCAGAATGAACGCAATGCTACATTGCACGTTAAGCGTTTTCTCCCCCATAGAAAACCACTATAAAGAAAACGCTTAAAGGGGGTCATATGATGTTGCTAAAAAGAACATTATTTTTGTGTATTTGGTGTAATGAAATGTGTTTATGCGGTTTAAGGTAAAAAAAAAAAACACATTATTTTCCACATACTGTACATTATTGTTTCTCCTCTATGCCCCGCCTTTCTGAAACGCGTCGATTTTTACAAAGCTCATCGGTCTGAAAAGCGAGGTGTGCTGTGATTGGCCAGCTATCCAGTGCGTTGTGATTGGCCGAATACCTCAAGCGTGAGACTGAA